TGTACATGGTAGACACAGTCATACAGATAAACTCACAGGCATAAAATTAAAATAAATCTAATTTTTATTTATTTTTGTTGTTGTTTTCAAGACAGGGTTTCTCTGCATAACTTCAGCTGCATAATTCCAGCTGTCCTGGAACTAGCTCTTGTAGACCAGGCTGGCCTCGAACACACAGAGATCCACCTGCCTCTGCCTCCCAAGTGCTGAGATTAGAGATTAGAAACTGAGTCTCCTCTGCTTTTGTCATTAGTTAGCACTTCAGTGGTCCAAGCAACTGAACTGACCCCTTGAGGATGCTTGAGCTGTAACTTGTGCCCCCAAAATGGGAGTGACATCCTAGGGTCACCTCCAAAGCAAGGGTCCCCCCAGCAGTGTCCAGTTCATGGACAACTCTATGGAGGTGACATGACTTATCAGAACATTTCTGCTCCGTGGTTCTATGTGTGATTTAGCATACATGAGCATGTTTTTTTAAAATATGCTGAATATTTTCTATATTTGCATTTTTGACATAGACAGAGACACATATACACATAAATAAAAAGAATTTGGGAACGAGGAAGTTTGAATAGCTAATAGAGAAAGCCATGTTATATCAAAGGCAGAAATTAGGGTGATGCTTCTTCAGGATAAGGAAACCCCAAGATTTTGAGCAAATAATGGAAACTGTGAGAAGGGCAGGAAATAGACTCCTCCTCGTAGCCCTTAGAAAGAACCAAACCTACAGTGCCTCGAGAATGAGGTTTCTGTTGTTCAAGCTGTTCACTTTGCAGAACTTCACCACACAGCCCTAACAGCTTAGCCAAGGAACCGAACTTGCAAATGTACACAACTAAGACACATCGGGTGCAACAAAGGCACCCAGAGGAGCCTGTGGGACCTGATGGTGAAAGCACTTGCCTCTGGAGCAGGCTTTATCTGAGCCAGATAATAAAAGCCTTCCGGTTCCCTCCTGGCCAGGACCCAGGGGCCAGCAGCATCTCTGACTCTTCCCAGCCAGCTAAGCCCCTGCCACGATGTATCAGCAGTGTGGGAACATGGGTGACAAGAGGCACACCTGGGAAAAACAAATGAAATCAAGGGGCGAGCACAAAATCTTGTAAGCATCAATAGGCTATAGAAATGGCTCCAAGGGTAAAGGTACTTGCCACCAAGCCTAACAGAGTTCGATCCCCAGACCCCACACTGTGGAAGGAGAAAACCGACTCCCATGGGTTGTCCTCTGACGGCCACATATGAAATATAGTGTGTGTCCCCGCCTAGATAAACATATGAATATAAATACAATAATAATAATAAGATACATGCCTCGGGGTCTGACCTGAGGAGGCTCACTGCATGAGGATGAGAAGGTGTGCACAACAAATCCAGGGAGAATGTGGCAATCTATGACCTGCTGTAAGACCAGCTCAACTTCTGGAGTTAGCAGAAAGGGCACATAGGGCGTTTTCTGTATGGGGCATTATTTCAGGAAAACCAAATGAAATCTGCTTGTATGCTTGTGTTAATCAATGCTTGAACAAGAGTGTGGTATTCTAGGATGAGGTGACAAACTGACAGGGAATCAAACTGTAAGTCGCTTGACTTCAGGGGTCAGAGAGATGTGGACAAGCTGGAGCTGGGGCAGTTGCAGAATGGGGGATCTGGTTTTGGGGGGTTTGTTTTCAAATATTTATTTTTACTTTTCGAAGTGTGTGTGTGTGTGTGTGCAGATTCCCTGGAACTGGGGTTACAGGTGTTTGTGAGCCTCCTGATGTGGGTGCTGGGAATTAAACTCAGGTCTCCTGGGAGTACGGATATGCACTCTTAACTGCAGCGTAGTCTTTCCAGCCCAAGAAGGTATGGGCTTTTGAAAAAAAAAGGTTGTTTTTGCAGGCAAGTCTGAATGTAAAGATGCTTAACTTGGAAAAAAAAAAAAGCCAGGTGGTGGCCCACCCCTTTAGTCCTAGCACTTGGGAGGCTGAGGCAGACAGAGGTCTGTGAGTTCAAGGTCAGCCTGGCCTACAGAGTGAGTTCAAGGACAGCCAAGGCTGTTACACAGAGAAACCTTGTCTCAAGAAAACAAACCAAATCATCAAAATAAAACAACAACAAAAAAGCTAAGCTTGATCTTGAACATAGGGCTGGAGAGATGGCTCAGTGGTTAAGAGCACTGACTGCTCTTCCAGAGGACCCGGGTTCAATTCCAGCACCCACATGGCAGCTCACAACTGTCTGAGGATCCAGTTGCAGGGGATTTGACAGCTTCATACCAATGCACATAAAATAAAGTTAAATAAACCATTAAAAAAACATTTTTTTTTAAAAAAAAAAAGGTGATTCAAACAAATAAATTAAGAACTTGAGCAATGAACTGGAGAGATTCTCCAGTGGTTAAGGATTGATCCAGGATTTAGTTTCCAGCCCCTGCATGGCAACTAACAATCCTCTCTATGTAACTCCAATTCAAGCATATCTGCTGCCCTCTTCTGGCCTCTGTAGGTACTGTATGCATGTAGTACACAGACATGCAGGCAAAACACCCAAACACTTAAAATAAATTTTTAAAAATTTTTTAAGTTGAGTGCTGGGCTGCTGTGTCCCTATCCTAGGCAGACTGGTCCCTGGAATTTGCTACAGGCTGATGTTCCTTTGCCACGTCATAGTCACACTTTAGACAGCTGACTGAGGATGCTATTCTGGAAAATTCCAGGCATTTGAGGACTAAACTGCCATTAACACCAGGAACAGAGGAGAAAGGAAGGACAGAGAACAGAAGCTGGTACCTGGTGAGTGTGCAGCTCATGGGCAGCCAGGGTGCTTGCGTGGCAAAGGGACAGGTGAAGGAGAGGCCCCAGGGTGACACAGCACCATCTGGGTCAGGGGCTTTCCGGGCTGTGGCCACACTGCAGTATTTGGGCAGAGGCAGCCCAGGACTGGTTGAGGGCTGCATGGTCTTCAGAGTACCCACCTGGAGCAAACACAGGTATCACAGCTGTAGTCTAATCCCGCCAGGGGACACTCCCCGGGGTTCCCACGTACACCCAGTGTCCCCTTTGGAGTACCTATCTCAGAATGTCCCCCAGGAACTAGGGAGGACTGAAAGAACTGAAGCTAGAAGCTTCAAGAAATCCCACTTCAATCCTCCTTCAAAGCTGCATGCTCATAGCTTGTTACCACTCCAGAGACAAGCGGCAAGAGGCACCCAGCAGCCCAACTCCCATTGGGCTTCACCTCCTTCCTCCTCCCTGTGGCTAGAACCCCTGGAGCATGCCCTTTCTCTTTACACACCCTGCCGTTTCCAACTGATCCCCACCAGAAGCCACCGACTCCCCCTCCTAACCTGGTCGCCTACAGGACTAACTCAGGGTCCTCCCTTTATTCAGAGGCAGCAGCGGTCACCTAAGACTTGTTAGGGTCTACCATGGCCCAAAGCCACAAGTCCGATTACAAAGGGACTTACCTAAAACTCCAAATCCAACCCAGACCTCAGCCTTACCTCAGTCTTGGCCCCATCTGACAGTTGGCACAACAACTCTTAGTTCCCAGGCAGGTTGCCTAGCAGGTTGCTATAGACTTAATCCAGCAGGCAATACCAGGGCTTGGGAGTATACTGGGCATGTGCAGAGAATGACCTGAAGTCCTGAGAGACTTAGATTTGGGAGTGAGGTGGGGAATCAGGGTAAGTTTTGTATTTTCCTTTTATCTCAATGACTGCTTCCTTGCATGCAGTGGGAGCCTCTTAGAGGTCTTGGGGGAGTCCCACAAAAGGGTACTGAGCTCTACAGAGACTGTCTGCTTCTACCTACAGAAGGCAGAAGGCTGGATTGGGAAACTAATGAGTAGCCTAGGGACTCTTCATTCCTTATAGTTTAAAACAAAATAGCAGGGCTAGGAAGCCAGCTCAGTCGGGAAACGGCTTGCTGTGCAAGCATGAAGACCTCTGCTTGTTCTGGTTATTCTTCCAGAGAACCCAGGTTCAATTCCCAGCACCCACATGGCACCTCACACCTGTATGTAACCCCAGTTCCAAGGCTTCTGACAGCCTCACACAGACATACATGCAGACAAAACACCAGTGCACATAAAATAAATAAATCATTAAATAATAATAATAATAATAATAAACCTGGGGAAGTGGTGGTAGTGCACGCCTTTAATCCCAGAACTCGGGAGGCAGAGGACAGCCAGAGCTGTTACACAGAGAAACCCTGTCTCGAAAACCCGAAGATAAAGAAATTCAGATTCCACTCTCATGCCCGTATCCACAAAAGACTGGTGTGCTGAGGCAGTCGCATAGGTGACTCAGTGGAGCCGACCCAAGAAAGCAAACAGGGACGTGATGAGTCTCAAGTCTATAGCTGGGAACTGTGGACAGGCTCTCTTCTTCTTGTGCAGGAGTAACGAGGCATCTAATTCTAGGAGATCCTGGTAGCTTTTTCCTGAGAAAGTCGTAGAGCTAGATCCAGGCTCTGGGGGACTCTAGTTCAAGTAGCCCACTGTTCCCTCGCAGCGTCTTATTCTGTATTGACTTAAAATGTTCATTTACTTCTATTTTATGTTTATGGGTGTTCTGCCTGCATGTATGCACTACAGGCATGTCGTTATAGAACTGAAGTTATAGACAGTTGTGAGCTACCAAGTAGATGCTGGAAAGCAAACCTGGGTCCTCTGCAAGGGCAGCAAGTACTCTTAACCGCTTAGCCATCTCTCCAGCTGCTTGTACTCCTTGCTGGTGTGGGGAGATTTGAAAATGACGGGTTGTTGGGTTGTTCAGCCCTTCGGTTTCACGAGGGAATACACTCTCTGTATTAGTTATGACAGTTTGGGTTGAGTTTCCTCTGGCAACTCAAAGTGCCTTGAATGATGATGCCCTTCCAAAGCCAGTTCTGTAGTCACCAGAACGACTGTGGCCCAGACACATGCCTCGAATCTGAGTCTAAAATAGACCAGTGACGGGGGCAGCCAGAAAGGATTACTGAATGAGACCATGGGGTTTTAGTGACGGTAGGGAAATATTCCAAGTTAGAATGGGAGAGTAAAGAGAGAAGGGTGTGTTTGCCAGACTGTGTTTTCCTTTTGTGGGGATGTCAAAGTATATGGAGCTTTGAAAGGCAAGCGGAGCCAGGCGTGGTGGCACACGACTTTAATTCTAGAACTCTGGAAGCACAGGCAAGTAGCTCTCTGAGTTACATAGTAAGAGAGAAAAGGAAAAAAAAACACAAAGTAAACTAGGTGGGTGCATTCAACAGCAGTAGTCAAAAGTTATTCGTCAGTTTGAGCAACAATATTTTAAGAACTTCACACTCATGTACACACATTGACTTACAGGACACACACATGTCATGCACCAAAAGATAAGGAAAGAAACGGCTTCAAAACGAGGGTAGAGCCCATTGAGAACAGAATCCAGGATGGAAATTAATCGTGGTCCCGGCACAGGTGACGGGATCAGAACAGGAAAACCATGTCAACAAATATTTACCAAGTGTGAGACAATCACACTTGGTACTTTTTTCCCGTACTTTGGAGCGTACGTTTGGCCAAGGCTGTACGAAAGGTGGGGTGGGTGGTGCGGAGATCCCTGGGAATACTCAAAGCTGTAAGGCCGGCATGGGAGTCTCAGTCTGCATGGGATAATTTAGTGTCTCTGAAACCCAGAGATGCAACATTTAAGGAAGGTTGGTAGTGGGACTACTGTTGTCCCCTCCCCCAAACCACGTGTATGAGAATCTACTGGACGCTGCTGCGGGAGAGCCCGTTTGGGAAAGCACCAACTCAAATGACTCTCAGAGATGGGTCTAGGGGACCGCAACTGGTGGTCCGAGGGTTCCTCCCAGCCTCAGTCTCATCCGGGTACAAGAGAGACTGCAGATAGCTGATGTACTTGATGGCGGCTCGGAGGGTCTCCACTTTGCTGAGTCGCTTCTCCAGGTAGTCCTCGGGCAGGTGTCGCCGCAGCCGGGCGTAGCCTTCGTTCACACACTTGACTCGCTGCCTCTCGCGCTCATTCCTCTTGCGGATGAAGGCGGGCCCATAGGCGTAGTCACAGCGCCTATAGTTGGCGTAAGGCATAGGGAAAGGGAAGGGGTACGGGTCCCCATAATTGTCCATGATCAAGGTATCTCCGGTAAAGGGCAGCAGAGGCAGCTCGTTCGTGTAAGGGGGCGGCACAGGGGCCTCGGGGCACAGGTGGACAGTGACCATGGGGTCCAGGTAGAAGGGCCTGGACAGTGGCAAGTGGGCAGACTCAGAGAAAACGGAGAGGCTGTCTGGAGGGTTGGAGTAGCTTCTGTTGTCCATCGTTTCCTCTTTCACCTAGAACAGAGGCGTGCTTATCAGTTTGTCCAGATTAAATAAATAAATACATAAATAAAAGAGCAGGTTTGATCTACTTTCTTCGAGATTCATGTCTTATAGACTTCTGCGTAATTCGTAATTTTAGGGCTCATACTGAAAAGTAAACAGGGTTAGAGTCATTTGTGTAGAGGTGCTGGGGTGGTGCCTGAGACTTGTGATTACAGCATTCCAGAGGCCGAAGCAGGAGTCTAGCTATGAGTTCAAGGGAGCCTGGACTATATAGTGAAACTGTCTCCAAACATTACCACCTCTAACAAGGAAGGGAGGAAGGGGGAAGGCAAGGGAGAAAGAAAGGACTTCCCTTTTTCTCTTTTCTTTTTTTTTTAAAAAATATTTATTTATTTATTATGTATACAATATTCTGTCTGTGTGTATGTTTGCAGACCAGAAGAAGGCACCAGACCTCATTACAGATGGTTGTGAGCCGCCATGTGGTTGCTGGGAATTGAACTCAGGACCTTTGGAAGAGCAGGCAATGCTCTCAACCTCTGAGCCATCTCTCCAGCCCCTGCTTTTTCTCTTTTCTTGACCAAAAATTTTATTATATTTCTTATATTTCTCTCTCTCTCTCTCTCTCTCTCTCTCTCTCTCTCTCTCTCTCTGTGTGTGTGTGTGTGTGTGTGTGTGTGTGTGTGTGTGTGTGTGTGTGTGTGTGATGGGGGCACTGAATCCAGGGCCTTGCGTGTGATCAGCAAAGTGCCTTGAGCTACATGGCCACTACCTTTAGCCTTTGGTATAAAGTACCTCAAAGGGTTTTCTGGGGACCCTGTGGTTAGCCAGTTACCTAGCGGTGGGGAAGGAATGCTTGCACTGCCACTATAAATGCTTACTGGGGCCAAGGTTAACTTTTCATTTTCCCTTGCTGGGTGTCCTCGGGCACATTTCCTATAACCCTCTCTGGACCTCACTTGCTTTCTATGTCCCCTTGAAAGTTTAAAATCCAAGCAATGCATCGGTCCCTGAATTAACTGTTCTGTTCTCCCTTTTCTTCGCAAATGGATACTTAAGGAGCCTCTCTTTTCTCTGCACTTTATAGAAAATCTAGTTTATAGCCTGCCCCTCTGCAGTGGAGACTCCAAACATTCACGTCTGCGAAGCCCAGTTGCTGAGGTCCGAGCGTGCCTGAGATCTAACGGGCATGCTCCTTAGGCTGAGATCTAACGGGCATGCTCCTTAGGCTGAGATCTAACGGGCATGCTCCTTAGGCTGAGATCTAACGGGCATGCTCCTTAGGCGTCCCCCAGAGCTGCAGCTCTTAGGCGACTTTCTCGGGGAAAACTTTTCCGGTGTCTTTAGGAGTCCCAGACTTGGCAAACTACACAAAAAAAGAGGTGGAGCAAAGCAAACAAAATGAATGTTTATCGGCAAGACTAGCTGACGCCGGCGCCGTGCTCCCCATTTGTTTGTGGTTTTGAGACTGGGTCTTACTGTATATTTGCTGCCCTGACATTTGTAAGACAGCTGAGGCTGGATCCTAGCCATGTACCATCAAACCTAACTTGCTACCTGAGCATAGCAGGAACTCTACAGCCCTCGCTGGGTGATGGAAAAAACAGCCTTTAAGACCAGATTCTGGTGTGTTCCCATCTTTGTGAAAAGGCCCAGCCATAGCTTCTGAAAAGATAAGAAACTGGAATCAGAAATGGCTGCTGGGACTGTGGGGCTGAGGACTGGGGACTGCGGGCGCTGGGAGACTGGGGGGACTGGAGGGCTGGGAGACAGGGGAACTGGGGACTGGGGGGACTGGAGGGCTGGGGGGCTGGGGAACTGGGGGCTGGGGACTAGGGGGGGCTGGGGACTGGGGGACTGGAGGGCAGAGGGCTAGGGGGCTGGGGAACTGGGGGGTGGGAGGGCTGGGGGCCAAGGGGTTGGAGTGCAGGTGAAGAGGGCAAGGCTGTAAGAAGCCATAGTGGGACTGACTGCCTGGAACAGCATGTGCCTAAGAGGCTGGGGGAGGATAGTGACAATTCCAAACTGAGATGGAGGGACGGGAAATGGGAGAGTCCAAATTACTGATCAAATGACCCACAATAACTAACACAAGACAGAAATCTCTGGAAGATTAAACAGGAGCCAAAACACTGTCAAAAAGCCGCTGAGAGAAGAAGCTAGTTAGGAAATCCCCAAGCCAGGAATTCTAGAGGCTAAGAGAAAAGGGCAGGTAGGGCAAAGCCACAAACCCAGCCAATGGGGACAGGGCATGCGGTTCAGCCCTGGATCCAAAGCACCAAATAGATCAGAAGTTTAAGGTTATCCTAGGCTAATCCGAGATTCATGAGACCCTGTGTCAAAGCAAAACAGCTGGCAAGTGGGAATACGGCCTGCACCACTTACTTTTGATAATGGCCTTTTTGCCTACAGCAACAGGTAAATGAAGCCATGCCAGTGTCCTGGTTAACTCTGACTGCCACCTTGACGCTGCCTAGAGTCACCCGAGAGAATAATCGTCTAGATCTGTGGGCCTGTAGGCCTGTGGGCCTGTATTGAAATATTGTCTATTTTGTTTTTCTTACTTTATGTATGAGTGCTTGCATGTATGTATGTGTACCACATGTCGCGTGTGCTGGTGTCCTCGGAGGCCAGAAGAGGGGTTCAGATCCTCTGGGACACCACATGTCATGTGTGCCTGGTGTCCACGGAGGCCAGAAGAGGGGGTCAGATCCTCTAGAACTGAGCTACAGGCTGTTCCAAGTGGCCCAGTATCTGGAACCAAGTCCAGCTCCTCTGCAAGGGGAGCAAGCACCCCTAACAGAAGAATCATCTCTCCAGCCCCGAAGGTATTGCCTTGACTATTAATTGATTTTGGGAGGCCCGCGCCCACTGTGGATGGCACCCTTTCTTAGGCAGGCAATCCTGGACTGCAGAAGAAAGCTGGCTAAGTCCGAGCCAGCAAGCCAGAGAGCGAATCAGTAAGCAAGTGTTTCTCCATGTCTGCTGCTCCTGCTCCTGCTCCTTGGGTCCCTGCCCTGATTTCCTTGAATGACGGACTGTAACTGTAAACTGAAGTAAGCCCCTTGGTCCCCTAAGTTGTTTTTGATCGGAGTGTTTGTATCACAGCAACCAAGATGAAGCCAGAACAGTCAGTTTCCTCAAAGGTAAAGCAAATGTCAAAGCCATTTATGCAGAATTTTGAGTCATGGTTTTTTTTTTTTTACCCCGAATAATAATTTAAATACTATCTCAGCTCTTGACCCAGATGAAATCTGAGTGATTTGTATATACCACAAGTAATTAAGATTCTAGGTTTTGATGAGATTTTGGATAATTCCTAGAGCATGTCATGTCTGGAGACACATGGATGACGAGGCTTTTCTACCGAGCATTCCGGGAAGCCCCCCTGAGGGAGGGGCCACTCAAGTGTCACTTTCTGTTCATGCAGGAGAATTGAGCGTAAAATTTAGGAAGGCGAAAGCACGCAGCCATAAAGAGGGCGGAGACAGGAAGCCCGGGATGTGTGCATGGGGGAACTGAGCACAAGTTTATCTCAAAAGAAAGCAAGGGTTTGTGCTGCTACTCCAGGCTCCCAAATACGCACACGGCTGGCAAACACACCTACCTTGGGCACATCTCAGGCTTCTGTCTTAGAGCTCTTCTGGGAAATAAGTAATGAAGTCTTAATGATAAAATCCTGAGAGATTCTTGATGTTCCACTGAGCATAAAAACATCAACTTTCATAATTAAAAAAATCTAGAATGTAAAAAATAAAAATCCAACCACTGACATGTGCCAAAAATACATAAATAAGAATAAAAATCCACCACTGCACATGCAATTGAATCATGGGACGTCAGAGCTGGGGGGAAGCTTGGAGAAGCCCTCCTTCTCTTCCTCCTCAGGGTATGGTAAATTGCTAAGGTTTCAAAATCAGCAGCAATACTGGTGCCAGAAGCCAGAACCTGAGTTCCTCAGGTTTCCTCACCGGGGCAATCTGGGCCTTTTGTTGTATGGGTCATCATTGACTTCTTAAGATAATAGCATAATCCTATTGATGACAAAATTTATCCACTGTACCTAGGGCTGTTCTTAAAAATCTTGTTCTGTAGTCTCCCTGTGGGCCACTATGGAGAAGCATCTCTTACCTGTTTTGTAGTTCAGAATGCTGTATTTGGGGCTGAGCCTGGCTGAACCTGATTTATAGGTGGTCATCTAGTGAAATATGCAAAGTAGCTTACTATTAAACAGAACCGCCTGGTTCTGGGTAGCTGATTTTTTTTTCTATCTACTATGGAGCTATGACAGAACCTGACAATCTAAGCTAAGAGGTTTGCTTATGAAATTGGACACTTGGGATGATCCTTTTGTTTAAGAAGCTACTCTTATTCATCCGGGTTATATGGTTTTATATAAAATTATTTCTAAAAAATACAATAGTCTCATAATATGCAAACACTGGTCAATATTTTTTTCAGACAGACCAGAACCAAGAAGGTCCATGTAACCTTTGCAGAATGAAGTCTTTTGGGGAATGCAATACAGTGACATGCCCCTGAGAGCTGGTGCTTTGATTTTGGCAAAATGACTTCCTTTAAAACAAATGAGGAACTGGCATATTACAAGTGCTTAGTTTTAAATATGGGGAGAAGTTCTTACTGCTTCCTTAAATCAACAGGAACTGGTGAGTCTTGAATAAAACATTCTATAATACAGTTAAGCATAATTATGTTTCAAAATGTGTTTGAAGGGGCTGGAGAAATGGCTCAGTAGGTAAGAGTGCTTGCTTCACAAGCATAAGGACCTGAGTTCAAGCCTCCCAGAATACATACTAAAAAGAAAAAGCTGGTTCTGTGTGTACCTGTCACCTCAATGCTGGGGGTGGTCAGAGACAAGAGGATCAATGGGACCAGTCGCCAGACTAGCTCCAGGTTTAGTGAAGGACCCAGCCTCAGAGGAACAGGGTGTAGAGTGATAGAGAGCTCTCTCTCTCTCTCTCTCTCTCTCTCTCTCTCTCTCTCTCTTCCCCCTGACACTCTCCATATATGCCTCTCTCTCTTTCTCTCTCTCTCCCTCACACCTGACACCCTCCATATATATGCTTCTCTCTCTCTCTCTCTCTCTCTCTCTCTCTCTCTCTCTCTCTCTCTCCCTCACACCTGACACCCTCCATATATGCCTCTCTCTCTCTCTTTCTCTCTCTCTCTCTCTCTCTCCCTCTCCCCTGACACTCTCCATATATGCCTCTCTCTCTCTATTGCTGTCTTTCTCTCTCACACACACACCTTACATACATGCACACCATGCATGCACACACAAGCAAAAAATAAAAAGCTGTAATATTTGGAAATGTTTATTAAAATAAATAAGATCTTCATTCTAACAAAAAAATAACCAAATATAATATGTGTAATGTTAGATTAAATGTAAGAAAAAAAACCTAATATTTTTACATTTTTATTTATGTGTCTCTATGCATTTGCAGATGCCTATGGAGGCCAGAAGAGGGCGTCGGATCTCCTGGAGCTGGAGTTACGGATGGTTGTGAACAGCCCAATGTGGTGCTGGAAACTGAGCAGCAAGAGGTCTTAATCGCTGATCGTTTCTCCAGCTTGTGCTGGCTAGTTTTAGGTCAACTTGGCACAAGCTAGAGTCACTGGCAAGGAGGGAACCTCAGTTGGGAACACGCCTCCATACTATTTGGCTGTAAGGCACTTTCCTAATTAGTGGTTTATAGGGTAGAGCTCAGCTTACTATGTATACTCACATGCATGGTGGTACGTGGTCCTGGTTCTATACGAAAGCAGGCTGAGCAAGCCGTGGGGAACAAGCTAGTAAGCAGCAGCCCTCCATGGCCACTTCATCAGCTCCTGCTCCAGTTCCTGCCTTGTTTGAATCCTGTCCTGACTTCCTTCAGTGATGAACAGTGGCACAGAGGCATAAGCCACATAGACCCGTTCCTCCCCATCTTGCTTTTGGTCATGGTATCTCCTCATAACATTAGTAATATTAAATAAAACACAGCCCCAGTACCTCTCTCTCTCTCTCTCTCTCTCTCTCTCTCTCTCTCTCTCTCTCTCACACACACACACACACACACACACACACACACACACACACACGTGTGTGTGTGTGTGTTTTTAACTGAGAGTATGAAGTCCTGGCTGGCCTGGAATTCACTCCATAGACCAGGCTGTCCTCAAATTCATGGATATCCACCTGCTTCTGCTTCCCAAGTACTGGATTCAAAGGTGTGTTATGTTCAGCCCAACATAACATTTTAAAACTTTGATACTTCCACTTGTTTGTGTTCTGCAACTGAAAGATAATTTCACATTTACTTTTCTGTGTATTCCAGGAGACTTATGTTGACATTCTTTTCACCATTAAAAAACTCTATTGTTGGGTTGGGGTGTATGGATCAATTAGTAGAATACTTGCCTAGCATACAAGAAGCCCTGGGTTTGAACCTTAGCACCACACAAGACTGGTGCATGACAGCTCACTCCTGTAACCCCAACACTTGAGAAGCATTGGCAGGAAGATCAGAAGTTTCCCGTTATCCTCAGCTGTGCATTGAGTTTCAGGGCTACAAAGAGCGTATTGTTTTCTGTGAGACCTTCTCAGCTTTGCACATAGACTTAGGAACCTAACCTGGACTCTTATCTTCCTCTACATTCAGTTTTTGGGCTAATTTTCTTTGAAATCAATGCCCAGAATAGTAACTTGCTGTAAAGACCTTTTCCAAGACCTCACCCTGGTTTGGGGTAAAAGCAGTTCTCGACCTTTGGCCTCAGTAACAGCCCAGGTCTCCGCAAAGATAGTTTTTCTGAGGCTGACCTTTTAGCTCTCCCATATTCAAGGCTCGTTTTCTTGGTATTCAGCGAACCACCTGCAATGAAATGAGATCCCATTGGAAGATGAGCAACTTTACTACAAAGAAGCAAGGTGATGGTTTGCTTTCTCTAAGAAGCTTCAAGAACATACCCTTCTAGGATGCACAGAGAATTCTGACCTTTCTCTTGGCTTCTGCCCCACCTATAATTAAAATCACATCTCATTTTAAATATTCATTTTATTTTTCTTTTCTTTCACAAGACACTATTTTATTTAGAAGAACAATATACAATCATAAATATTTCAAAGTTTTTTCCCCTTTCATGTTTATTTAAAAAGTTTTTTTTATGTTATGTGCATGGGTGTTTTGCCTGCATGTATGTCTGTACAACATGTGCAAAGCTGGTACCTATGGAGGCCAGAGGAGGCCAGGAGTTACAGGCGGTTGTGAGCTGCCGTGTGTGTTCTCAGAACTGTGCTCAGGTCCTCTCCAAGTGCAGCCGGCGCAGCGCTCACAGCCACTGAGCCATCTCACCACACCTTTTTTTTTTTTTAATGGGGAAACCTGATAAGCAGCTGAGGATGACTTTGAACTTCTGTTCCTCCTGGTCCATTTCCCACGTCTGGGACTACAGGCATGCACTGCCACACCTCATTTCTATGTTGAGGACCAAACCTGGGACTTCATGCATTCTACACAAGCACTCTAGCAATGGGCTACACCCCCAGCCCCTTTCCCCTTTAAGTGCTTTATGAACATCGGGGTATGTGTGTGTGTGTGTGTGTTAGTGTGTGTGTGTGTGGTGTATTCACTTGTGGAGCTCAGAGGACAACTTGTAGGAGTTGGTTCAGTCTTTTACCGAGTGGGTCCCAGGGATGCTCAGGATATTAGGCTTGGTAGCAAGCACATTTACCTGCTGAGACAATTCCCTGGTCCAGTTGTACTTTTAAATTTCAAATTCTATCCCACTTGTTCGTTGCCTGACATAGGAGAGCACCTGGCTTTCGCATCCCTGTAATCTTGGAACCTTGCTGGAATCCCTTACTAGTTCCAGAGGGTTTCGTTGTTTGGTTTTTCTACCTAGAAGCCTGTGCCATCTCTAAACAGTGTCGATCTTTCCTCTTGCTCGGTATACCTCGTCTACTGCATGAGCCAGAACTTCTAGGGTGATGCTAAAGTCTCACAAGAGGACATCCTGGTCTCCATGATCTCAGGGAGAAGGTTTCTAGCTTCTCACCAGTAAATAGATTAGCTATATTTTTTTTGCAGTTTTTTTTTTAACCTTTGAGATATTAGTTGCTAACCTTTGAGATATTAGTTGCATTCTGTAGCCTATGCTGGCCTTAAACTCCTGGAAATTCTCCAGATTCAGTTTCCCAGATGCTGGACTTACAGGAAAAGACACTATATGCAGTCTGTAATTCTTTCTCTGGTTAGGGAAGTTCCTTTCATGCCAGTTTTCTTTCTTTCATGTGTACAGGTTCACATGCATGTGGAGATCGGAGGACAACCTGTGGGTGTCAGGCCTTGCCTTCCCACCTTGTTTGAGACAACGCATAAGCAGGGACAGCTGGTCCACTCACTACTGAATACAGCTTTTCTATCTGGGTCCTGGGGATTTGAATTCAAGTTGTTGTGTTTGTGTGACAAAAGTTTTTACCCACTGAGCCATCTCCCCAGCCCCTGAGCTTTTATTTCTCATCCTTATTAATTTAATGTAACAATATTAACATGAATTTAATGTACCTGTAATATGATTTTGCCAAGAACTTGGCAGAATCAGCACTCCTTTATGAATCATTATATAAATGCATGTTTTTTCATATATATACATGTGCATAAGTACGTATATATGTATGGGTCTCATCACACAGCCCAAGCAACTGAATTCCAAGCACCCTCTTGCCTCAGCCTCCCGAGTGTCAGGATCATGAGCATGCACTACCATGCCTGGTCTATGAATTTAAAGCCTCTCAACTTATCTGACTGCTTGTGTACCCAGGAACACGTCATCTTTCCCTCTGTACTCATACACCCATAACACAGGGTCAGTGTTATAGGGTTAGGTTTCATAAGCTGTTTTCAAACAGCAGGGTGGCAAAGGGCTCTGTGTCACCATGCTTATCACACAGCACAAGAGGAAGGAGAGAAGGCTGGAGAGCCGGCACACTGATAGGGGTTTTGAAAATTATTTTATTGTTACATTCCAAAGAGGATGTAGGAAGAAAAAAGCCAGTTATCCAATAACTGTTAGACTTCTCAGAGAGGGGCTATCTGAACTCCAGTCCTAGGTCAAAGCTGCCCACACTAGTTCAAATAGCTGCCTCTCAGCACGACAGGAAATGCTGACCAGTATGTGTATGTCATTCATCCAGGGAGGCTTGGGCTTAAGGGAAAATGAATTTATTCTAAATGTTCAAGTCCTTAGAGATACTAGAAGAAGAAGAGGAAGACCACACACACTGAGACTGTGTTTAGTTATCAGAGTAAACTAGCAAACGGCCAGTTTGTTCTAGGACATGTTGCATCAGACATCACAGCGCACAAAACAAGTCTGCATTTCGTGAAGAACCGCCAGGCATTTTAGATCCAATTTACCAAGAAATGTAGCCACAGGCCAACCAGAATTGTAGGTAACGTAGTCAGTGCAAGAGTCATGTGGGGAGGCCAGCACGCTTATGAGCTGGCTACACTGGAAATACCAAGACGTGAAAGAGAAGGTCTGGTGTATTTACAAGTCTGTCTACTAAAGAGACCTGAGAGAAGCTGTGTCAAGCACACTCAAGGCTTCCCTTTCTTCTCCCACCACGGAAAAGCAGAAGCAAACACACCTGGAAATTATCTTGAAAACCAAGTTAGAACTGTGTGATGAGAAAGAGAGCTTGTTCCAGGCACAGGACCTCAAGGTAACTCACAGGCAGCTTAATTTTATTAGTAAAAGTCACAAGTAGGAAAAGACTTACTGGCTGACTTGGAACTGTGTGCTTTAAAAAGTCTCTATTAATACATTAACAAGAAAAAATACCAAGCATGTGGGTGCGCTTCCAGGTGCGGGTCTTCCTCCATCCAGCAGGATCTGTAAGACAGCAGGCATTAGAGCCCGCGGACACCCAGTCAGTTCCTCCCGGTTGTCTGCCGTCTTCTTTCCGGTTCCCAGTTAGCTGAGGACAACATGCCGGTCAAAGACAGACTTTCGCTGCTCCTGCACTTGAAGCTTCCAGCGCTGCTGTGCATACTCCACCTTGTTTAGAACATTGGCTCTGCTGCGAGAGCGGGCCAGCACATCATGGGCATTTGCGAAAGGCTGGTGATCCTGAAAGCCAAGGTAGAAGGTGTCAGAGATGACAGGAATGGCATAAACCTGCACAGAACAGACAGCCTAGGAACCAGACTAGGGACAAGGGTTCCAGCCCTTCAACAACTAGAAGCAGGACAAGCTCAGCTACCAAAGCAGAGGATTCCAGAGACAAGAGCAACGAGGGCTATGTGAGAAACACACCCATAGGTCACCATTTTCAAAGGCATTTTCTTTAAAAAGCAGAAAGCAAGACAAGGATGGTGGCCATTTTTGTTAAAGAGAAGTCTTTCCTGATTAGTGGGAGAACAGAGTCTATTTTCTTGGGCCAGTAAGAGTGCTCAGCAGGTAAAGGCACCCGGCACACGTCTGACCCAACTTTGCTCCTGGAGCCCTGGAGTCTGTGTGGTGGAACAAACCGACTTCAGCAAGTTGTCCTTTTGACCTCGACATGCCCTGAGGCGTGCATGTGCCCACACTCCCATCAAATAAACAAACTAATTCTTTTAAAGCAATTAAAAATTTTAAAGGGACTAGAGAAATGGTTTAGCAATTAAGAATGCTTCCGGCTCCTCCAGAGGACCTGAGCTCAGTTCCCAGCACCTCTGCACGGCCACTCACGATTGCCTGTAACTCCAGCTCCAAGAGACCAGACACCCTTTTCTGGCCTCCTAGGACACCTGCAAAAACGTGCACATACAACCACATAAAACTTTTAAAATCTTTTTGAAATTTTTAGTCATTTTTGTGCCTTTCTTTTCCTTCAGATATGGTCTGACCATGTCACCCAGGCCAGCCTGGAACACTGTATTGTCCACACTGGCCTCAGACTAGTGGTTCTCCAACTTCCCGCTCCCAAGACTAGAACTTGAGGCACACACCACCTACACGTCAAGGAAGAAAGCCTGTTTTGGGGGCTGGAGAGATGGCTCAGCAGTTAAGAGCACTGGTTGCTTTTCTGAAGGACTCAGGTTAATTCCCAGCACCCACATGGCAGTAATCCCTGCCCATAACTTCAGTTCCAGGGGATTTGGCATCCTCACTCAGACAAACCCCCAATGTACATAAAAGAAATCTTAAAAAATAAAAATAACTAAAAGTAATAACAAAAACCTCAAAAGCTATAACTGCTAGAACCCTTAAGAAAGAAAGGAGAGAGAAAGCCTGTTTTCACATTAATATTTCCATAAGAATAAGAAATATTAATGTAGGACTTTCCTCTGTATTCATCAATACTTCATAGCTTATCTGTGGCAGAGGACAGTTCCCATTATATCAGAACTGAGAACATGTCAGCCTAGGCCGCTAGAGCAGCTAGTTCTCAGGGCTACGTCTTGGCTGGTCTTAATGTCTGTCTGGGCCTTAAACACACACCAATGGACTGTTTCCAAAACCTTCTCGTTTCCTCTCTTCCCCACTCCGCAGCGAGACAGAGCACATGGCTTCAGTGCCATCTCTTACCAAGGAGAGAGAGGACTGGCTACTTTAGCACATCTAATCAACAAAAACTTCCATCTTCCATTGCAGAGTGCTCCACAGCTTCCCTGCTAATTGCTGTCTTAGGAAAGAGGCTAATGAAGGTTACCCTAGTCTGTATACAAAGCCAGATTCTCCTGTCAAAATAAACTGATTCAACTGGATGTTTGCAATCACTACACAGGAAACCACCCCACTAATCTACCTATGGATGAGATGTCAACACAGCTGCGCACATGACAAACAGCTTCAATTGTGATTGACTGTTTTTATTTTGCCTTTTTCTTGAGTTTTTCCTCAACCCCGTGTCAGCAAAGTTTCTAAATGTTCCACGCAGGCCAAGTTCTTAAACGGCAGGAGAGAAGCAGCACCGACCCGCTGCATGGTGGCAGCTTGCAGGAGCGGTCGTGGCATGGAGAGCTATGCACAACCCCCTGACTGCATTACAACTGTCACTGTTGGGGTTTTACGTGATCGTGTCTCTACAGCAAGGCATTTCTACTTTGTTTACATATCCCAAGCATTTTCTTTCTTTTTATCTATTTTCTAGAGATTTATTTGGTATATGTGGGTAGTTTTCCTGCATCTGTGTCTGTGCACCATGTTCATATCTAACGCTCATTTAGGGCAGAAAAGGGTGTCAATGCCCCTGGAGTTAAAGATGGCTGTGAGCCACCATGTGGGTATTAGGAATAGAACCCATGCCCTCTGCAAAAGCAGCCAGTGTTCTTCACTGCTGAGCCATCTCTCCAGCCCTTTTTCTTTTAAATTTTAAAATATTTATTATTGCTTGTGTGTCAAAGGATAACTTTGTAGAGTTCGTTTTTTCTGTGCATTGGTAGCATAGAGAAACTCAGGTTGCTGGGCTTGCCCCTACAGTAAGCTCCTTTACCCACTGAGCCATCTTTCTGGACCTCAAAGAAGCTTTTTGTTTTACTTTTTAAAGATTTACTGTTTTCAATTATGTGTATGTATGCAGGTGTGTGCACATGAGTGCGGGTGTCCACAGAGCAAGAAGAGGGTGTCAGACGCCCAGAGCTGGAGTCACAGTTGTGAGCCACTGGACATGGGTACTGGGAACTGAACTCAGGTCCTCCGCAAGAGTAGTGCTCTTAACTGCCAAGCCACCTCAAAGGCTTCTATAAAGAATCCTTGCCTTCTTTATCCAAATGTTCTCCGCTTTTGTTTAACTTAAGCAATGTCTTTGCAAATCTCTCATGAAGTCCAAGATGTTGCACAGATACAGAAAGAAAGTTGAAGAAAAAGAAGGGGAACTGGGCATGGTGGTGTACACCCATACTCCTAGCGCTTGGGAGACCACTGCAGGCTTGAGGTCAGCCTGCAGGTGTACACAGCAGGTTCTAGGTCAGCCAGGGCGACAAGCAAGACCCCGCTGGGAGGTAGAGAGAGACTGAGGTAGGAAGTAAGAGGGAGGGAGAGAGGAAAAACATAAAAAATAAAGTAGAAAGCTAAAGTTGTAGCATTACTTGATTTCTAATAAAGAAATAAACTGGCCCAAGGTCATTTAACAAACTAACACAGACACTAACACTTTGTGTGCCTAATCCTAAATTGGCGTCATATCCTCTCAACACACCAAACTGTTTTGGGTAGATTACTGTGGGAAAACGTGCATCAATGATTTTGTGTATAAAATATTATTACCATTGGTTTATTTGGACATAAATACTAGCAAGAAGGAAGTACTTTACCAGAGACCCGCTCAGTTACACAGTCCTGTCATTTGCTCCTCAAGGTAGGGGAAGGAAAAAATTCCTAAGGAACAAACTCAAGTGACTAAACAAACCAGTTAATCCTTTGGTCTGCAATCCACCTACAGAACAAGATTGGACTAGCTGCTCACAGACACAGGGAGAATGCAAATAGAGATTTTCACTTTCATCTGTTTGTTCTTTTTCCACCTGATGAAATTACAACGAACACAAAGGGTGCGTTAGTGGAATGTTTAGATAACAGTGATGATGTGTCCCGGGTATGGATGACAAATACTACCATTGTTTGCAGTGAACCTCTTGACTAATTGTACTAACTTTTA